GACTAAACTTGGCACACAGAGCCTCCATGACCCACTCTCCATCATGCTGCAGTTTGGAGGAGGATGGACCACAGATTATGGGATTTGCAGTACCTTCACTAACTCTTCCTGAGACCACTGCGAGCCATATAAATAACTGATACAGACCAACCTTTATACACAATTCCTTTCTCAAATAACCTGGGCAGCGCCGGGTCCCCAAGCTAGTATATAATATTTGCAAATTACGGGGAAGTATCTGATGATGGCTACATGGCATTTCCTTTTCTTTTCAAACACCTTTCCCTGGAGTAAAGAGTCTCTTCCTTGCATTTGCCCTCTCACGGGAGTCTACATTTTCCAAAGCATATCAAGGCATCTGAAGGCACTAGGTCAATGCACTAAGAAGAAGGCAAAGAAACACACTTCCTGACCGATTTGTGTTCTCAAAGTTTGACCCACAAGATGATTCAGTGGCAACAAACAACACTGGTTATGGCTAATCCAGAAAGTGACTACGGTTGAATTTTTTCCCCATTGAGAGTTAAAAATGGAAAATCTCCAAAGATGACAAACTCGGACAAAGTTGGGTTCAGAAACTATCCCCTGAAAAGTCCCCAAGAATCTCAGTGCATCTAAATGCGAGACAACGAATCTAGTTCTTATTGTTGTCTTATAAAGATGCAAGAATGTATAGAAAATTGAACTAGACCACTAGTGTTGTTGTTGGTTTTTGCTTCGCTATTGAACTGTACATACATAACATTGTGTTGTTTCTCATTACTGGGTACAATTGCTTCTATATACACATATATTCCTATGTCTTCTACTTGGAGAAGGCAATAAGCTGATGGTAACTTACAATGTTTTGCAAGACTGTACCTCGATTACTATTTACCGCGAGTGGCAAAGATTGGAGGCAGAGAGGCGGACAATCCCAGTTCTGGGTTGCTGTAAGTCTTTCGGGGTGTTTGGCCATGTTCCAGAAGCATTCTCTCCTGATGTTTCACCTGCATCTTTGGCAGGCATCCTCAGAGGTTGTGAGGTGGCCTAGCAGTTCCAGACAAGAAACAATCAGGGCCAGCTAATCACCTCCCAACAAAGGATTCCCCCAGGCAGTAAGAAGCCAGAACTTGAAACTGCTAAGCTATTCAATGCTAATCAAGGTGGCCAAATGAAACATTCATACCTACCTCCAACAGACAAGAGTTCTTTCTCCCACCCTTGACCTTCCACAGATACATAAACCCCACTTGCCTCATTTCCGACAGACCTCATAACCTCAGAGGATGCCTGCCATAGATGCAGGTGAAATGTCAGGAGAGAATGCTTCTGGAACATGGCCATACAGCCCAGAAAACTCACAGCAACCCAGTGATTCCAGCCATGAAAATCTTCAACAACAGACCTCACAACTTCTAAGGATGGCTGCCATAGATGCAGGTGAAATGTCAGGAGATAATGCTTCTGGAACATGGGCATACAGCCCAGAAAACTCACAGAAACCCAGTGATTCCAGAAATGAAAGCCTTCAACAACAGACCTCATACCCTATGAGGATGCCTGCCACAGATGCAGGCGAAACATCAGGAGAGAATGCTTCTGGAACATGGCCGTACAGTCGAGAAAATTCACAGTAACCCAGTGATTCCAGCCATGAAAGCCTTCAACAATGGACCTCACAACCTATTAGGATGCCTGCCATAGATGCAGGCGAAACGTCAGGAGAGAATGCTTCCAGAACATGGACATATAGCCTGAAAAACCTACAACAACCCATGTTCCAGAAGCATTCTCTCCTGATGTTTTGCCTGCATCTATGACAGGCATCCTTGTATGGCCTAGCAGTTCCAGACAAGAAACAATCAGGGCCAGCTAATCACCTCCCAACAAAGGATTCCCCCAGGCAGTAAGAAGCCAGAACTTGAAACTTCTAAGCTATTCAATGCTAATCAAGGTGGCCAATTGAAACATTCATACCTATCTCCAACAGACAAGAGTTCTTTCTCCCAAACTGGACATTATTCCACAGATACATAAAACCCACTTGCCTCATTTCCAACAGACCTCATAACCTCTGAGGATGGCTGCCATAGATGCAGGTGAAACGTCAGGAGAGAATGCTTCTGGAACATGGCCAGACAGCCCAGAAAACTCACAGCAACCCAGTGATTCCAGCCATGAAAGCCTTTGACAACAGACAAACAACAGATGGTAAACTGATTTCTGGGAGTTGTAGGACAAAACACCTGTTAAGACAGGAGAGCATGTGGCACAAAAGCTCGATACGGCCAAATTTGAATACTGGTGGGGTTCGGGGGGGGGGGGGAATTGATGTTGTCATTTAGGAGTTGTAGTTCCTGGGATTTCTAGTCCACCTACAATCAAAGAGCCTTCTGAACTCCACCAACGATGGAATTGAACTAAACTTGGCATACTGAACTCCCATGACTAACATAAAATACTGAAAGTGTCTGGTGGGCATTGACCTTGAGTTTGGGAGTTGTAGTTCATCTATATCCAGAGAGCACTGTGGACTCGAACAATGATAGATCTGGACCAAACTTGCCACGAGTACTCAATATGCCCAAATGAGAACACCGGTGGACTTTGGGGAAGACGGACTTTGACATTTGGGAGTAATTCACCTACATCTAGAGAGCACTGTGGACTCAATCAACGATGGATCTGGACAAAACCTGGCGGAGTTTGGGGAAAATAGACCTTGACATTTGGGAGTTGTAGTTGCTGGGATTTATAGTTCCCTACAATCAAAGAGCATTCCGAACTCCACCAATGATGGAGTTCATGCAGAACTCCCATTACCAACATAAAATACTGAAAGGGTCTGGTGGGCATTGACCTTGAGTGTGGAAGTTGTAGATCACCTACATCCAGAGAGTGCTGTGGACTCAAACAACGATGGATCTGGACCAAACTTGGCACGGATACTCAGTATGTCCAAATGTGAACACTGGCGGAGTTTGGGGGAAATAGACCCTGACATTTGGGAGTTGCAGTTACTTGGAGTTATAGTTCACCTGCCATTAAAGAGCATTCTGAACACCAAGACTCGCTGCTCCTGCTGCCCCATGCTCCTCTCGCCACTTTTCGAGGCTTCCACCAGTGGCGGAGGCCTTGAAAGGGGTGAGAAGAGGGTGGCCGCTATTCTAGGGAGTCAGAGGGGGTGAGGCCAAAGGAGGCAACGTCGCGACCCCTCTGAAACGGCCAAGCGACCCCTTGGGAAGTCGCGACCCCCAGGTTGAGAACTGCTGCTGTAGAAGCAAAGCACCAGGACCCCCTAGTTTTCACCACCAGAACTTTAGTTTTGCAAGTACTTTAGAACCATTTCGAACCATGGTTGCACATGCCTATTGGCAGGGGCGGCTCGTCCATTATGCGAAGTAAGCGGTCGCAGAACACTTTTTTTTTTGCCAGGGGCGCCTCTGTAAATGCCCCTCGACCTCCACTTGAGGAGCGCCCCCCCCTCAGCTCACAACAGCCCTAGCAGTCCAGGGGGAGCCTCGGCTTCCTTGCCTTGCTGCCAGGCGATCCTCTTTCCAAAGGGGCCGGGCCCTTGAACCTCGCCTAGCCCCTCTCGTTCCTGCTCCACCTGGACCCCCGGGTGTGCGAGCAGAGCCGGCGCTCAATCGTTCTCCGCGTTCGATCCCTTCCCCATGACCGGCTCCCTTTCCTGATCCCCTGGCGCTCCACCCGCCTCCTCTCCTCTCCCCAATCCGCGGGTGGGTCAAGGGGCGGAGCCACCGCGCTTGGCCCGCTTTGGGTCCGGAGGCGTGTCTGAAGACCCCAGCGTGTGCACCAAAAGTCGCCTCTTCTCCTGACTTTCTCTTCAGCCATTGGGACCAAGAGAGAGAGAGAGCCCCTCCGGCTGGAGGTATCTCCCACCTCCGCTCCCTCCTTTGTTTTTGCGCCTACCTTCAGGAAAGGTGGGCATCTCCACCTCTGTCTCTCTCTCTCTCTCTCGGTCCCAATGGCTGAGGAGAAAGTCAGGAGAAGAGGTGACTTTTGGTGCACACGCCGGGGTCTTCAGGCACGCCTCCGGACCCAAAGCGGGCCAGGCAAGGGAGCAAGTGCGGCAAGTGTAGTTACTGGGATGTATAGTTCACCTACATCAAAGAGCATTCTGAACTCCACCAATGATGGAATTGAACCAAATATGGCACACAGAACTCCCACGACAAACAGAAAATATAGATCAATGATTGGTTGGGGGGGGGGGGGCCGCCAAAATACTGTTTGCTTACCGTTGAAAATTACCTAGGGCCGCCTCTGCCTATTGGGTACCTTACGTTGGGAGCTTTGGCTTCTCTTTGCAGTCCTGACCCCTCCTTGCGACCCCCCGTTTCTAACCCAACGGCACCACAAAATACCATTCCGTTTTCAAAGTGAGTGGCATGCAATGCAGACGCATGCTTTCTGGTTTCAGGCATGCTACTACGACATTAACAGGCTAATAATAAAAGAAAAAAGAGAGAGAAAGGATTCAAAAAGAGAAATTAAGCCATCGCTTGTTAAGGGTATATATAAAGAAATGATGCTTCTGGAGCCGCACTAACACAGACTGATTACAAACTAAATTGTGCTATATATCCGTATGTATATATATATTAGATATATATACATATATATGTATATGTATAAAAACATTGTTTAGTAAGAATGGCACTGGTTCAAAGAAATCGGGACTTCTGTCGTGTTTCCTTTCAGTCCACAGTGAAAGTATAGAAATATAGGCTTGCCCAGCCACTTGGGCAACTTGTGACCCTTTTCCGGTGGGTTGGCTCCCACCCCGCCTCGTCTCCCCTTTTACACTCATCCACATACTTCGTTCTTCTCCTTCGCTTCCCTTTTGAACATCCTCCGAGCTGGATGCGGATGGAGAGGAGCGGGAAAAGCCGGTGAAGTGGCAGCGATAGATAGGATCGTTGGAGTCAAGCGTGGTCCCTCTTGCGCTGTCCGGGAGCGGCGGGGGAGGCAAGGAAAAAACCCACTCTTGCTGCTTCTTCTTTTTTGTCTTCCTGCGTCTGGGTCACAAGTTTGGAAGTTCCCTCTTCTAAACCCTCAGGGAAAAAGAAAACCCAGAGTCCATCTTTAAGAGTCCTCTTCTCCCATTGAAACCATCAGGCGCATGGCGACGGGCAGGTGGTCGGTGAGTCCCGCCAACTGCGTGATGAAACTGAACTCTTCAACTTCCTGCAGAGGAGAGACGAGGGCAGGGCTTCTCAAAAACTCATTGCAGGGCAACATATAGGGTTCCTGTCATCTACCTGACCATCCGTCCATCCACCCATCTATCCATCCTCTTTCTCTCTACCTCTATCTGTCTGTCTGTCTGTCTGTCTATCTATCTATCCATCCATCTATCCATTCATCTTTTCTTTACCTACTTTTCTCTATGCCTCCATCTATCATTTATCAGCTTCTATCTCCATCCAGTCTCTGTCTACCTCTCTCTCTCTCTCTCTCTCTATCCATCCATCCATCCATCCATCCATCCATCCATCCATCCACCTATCCATCCATCTTCTATTTATCTACCTTTCTCTATGCATCCATCTACTACTTATCAGCCTATCCATCCATCCATCCAGTCTCTCTTTACCTCTATCTATCTATCCATCAATCCATCGATCCATCCATCCACTCTCTACCTCTGTCTGTCTGTCCGTCCATCGATTGATCCATCCATCCACTCTCTACCTCTGTCTGTCTGCCCATCCATCCATCCATCCATCCATCCATCCATCCATCCATCTATCCAGTCTCTCTCTGTGTCCGTCTGTCTGTTCGTCCGTTCGTCCATCCATCTATCCAGTCTCTCTCTATCCCTGTCTGTCTGTCTGTCTATCCATCCATCCATCTTCTCTATGCATCCATCTACCATTTATTGCCCCCCTCTATCCATCCATCCATCCATTCATCCAGTCTCTCTCTACATCTGTCTATCTAACTATCTACCTACCTACCCATCCATCCATCCATCCATCCATCCATCCATCTTCTATTTATCTACCTTTCTCTATGCATCCATCTACCACTTATCAGCCTATCCATCCATCCATCCAGTCTCTCTTTACCTCTATCTATCTAACCATCAATCCATCGATCCATCTATCCATCCACTACCTCTGTCTGTCTGTCTATCTATCCATCCATCCATCCATCCATCCATCCATCCATCCATCCATCCATCCATCTTCTCTATGCATCCATCTACCATTTATTGCTCCCCTCTCTCTCTCCATCCATCCATCCAGTCTCTCTCTACATCTGTCTACCTACCTACCTACCTACCTACCTACCTACCTACCTACCTATCCATCCATCCATCAATTCATCTTCTATTTACCTATCTTTCTCTATGCCTCCATCTATCATTTATTGGCTTCTATCTCTGTCCATCCATCCTTTACAAAGCACAGTCTCTCCTGCGATGACGTTGATGCCATGACTTCTCCAACTCAAATTGAAGGTAAATCTGCAGCTTGTTCTGCTCAGATTCATGAGCACGCCACTTACCACTTTCCACTCGAGATAGAGTCCTTCTTCGGCGTAAAGCATGTAGTCGATACGCCTCCCATTGCCCTTCAGAGCCCCCTTCCTCCCCTTTTGGCTCGAGGCATGGCTCTTGCTGGTCGGAAAGATGAGGAAAGCTTTCCTCCCGTCTTCGCTCTCCATCGTCCTGTTCAAAAAAACACATAGAGGAATTCACTCCATTGGGATCAGCAAGTGTTTTCATAAAAGCAATGCTTAAATAGCCGAGGGGGGAAAAGGAAGGGGCCTGAGGCTGTTAGGAACTGTGGGAGTTGAAGCCCTTGCTCTGGTTACATCCTGAATAGATTACTGCAATGCACTCTACGTAGGGTTTATTTATTTATTTATTTGCAGTATTTATATTCCGCCCTTCTCACCCCACAGGGGACTCAAGGCGGATTACAATGTACATATACATTGCAAACATTCAATGCCATAGACACACAACATATATAGACAGACACACAGAGGCTATTTAACTTTCCAGCTTTTTTTAATGAGGGTATTCTGGCCACCAGGGGAGCTGTTGTTTCACCGTCCTTTTGTGACACTGATGAAGTACTTCCTCATTCTTTGTATGCATGCTGGAGATTTTTATGGCGTCGTAAATTAGTTAAATTAGCCTCCCCGCATATGCGGTACCTAAATTTCCTACTTGACCGAGGCAACTGTCTTTCGGGCTGCAAAGGTCAACAGCAAGCTACACAAATTGGTCGGAAGCTCACTCCGACCCCAGCTGGCTTCAAACTCATGACCTTTCCATCAGTGTTGATCTTAATGCAGCTGACTCCCAGCCACTCCCAGTCCTAAGTTGCCTCTGAAGACTGTTCGGAAGCTCCAGCTAGTCCAATGCTTGGCAGTCAGGTTGCTCACGCAAGCGAGGTACAGGGAGCGTACAACTCTTCTGTTATGCCAGCTCCACGGCTGCCGATTAGCTTCTGAACACAATTCAAAGTGCTGGCTTTAGCCTATAAAGCTCTAAACGGTTCTGGCCCAGTTTACGTGTCTGAACGTATCTCCCTCTATGAACCACCAAGGACCTTAAGATCATCTGGGGAGGCCCTGCTCTCGGTCCCACCTCTTTTACAGTCACGACCGGTAGAGACAAGAGACAGGGCCTTCTCCGTGGTGGTCCCTCGGCTGTGGAACTCCCTTCCTAATGAGATCAGATCCGACCCCTCACTGCTGACCTTCTCAAATCCTGGATGTGGGATCAAGCGTTTGCAGAATAGACTGACTTGCTGGAAAATATAGGCTTTTAATGAACTACAATGGACTGACTAGGATGATGATTTGAACCACCAAATTGTTTTAATGTATATTTCTAACTGTTTTACTTGTGCTAATTGTATTCTATGTTATGGTTTTATTTTATGTTGGCACTGAATAGTGCCGGTTGTTAGCCGTCTTGAGTCCCTCTTCGGAGGTCAAGAAGGACAGCGTAAAATGCCCCGAATAAATCTATATAAATAAAAACGTAATGTTTGTTTGTGGGATTAACATAACTCAAAAACCACTGGACAAATTGACACCAGATTTGGACACAAGACACCTATCAGGCCAACAAGTGACCATCACTCATGAAAAACACCGTGGAAGGGACTTAGAAAGCCAACAAACAAAAAAATACATTACAATGCATGTGCTAAACCACATATATATGCACAAACACATGTATATACACACATATATGCATATACAAACACAAAACACATACACAGAAAGGCAGAAGGAAGGAAGGAAGGAAGGAAGGAAGGAAGGAAGGAAGGAAGGAAGGAAGGAAGGAAGGAAGGAAGGAAGGAAGGAAGGAAGGAGAGAAGGAGGGGGAGAAAGAGGGAAAGAAGAAGGGAAAGAAGGCGGGAATGAGAGAAAGAAGGAAATAAAGAAGGGTAGAGAAGGAAGGAAGGAGAGAAGGAGGGAGAGAAAGAGGGAAAGAAGGATCGAAGGAAAGAAGAAAAGAAAGAAAAGTAGAGAAGGAAAGAAGGGGAAAAGGAAATAAAAAAGTGAGAGGGAAGGAAGGAGAGAAGGAACAAAAGAAAGAAGGAGGGAAGGAAGGAAAGAGACAAGGGATGGAACCAAAGAGCAAAGGAAGTGAGAAAAGAAACAGGTAAAGAAGGAAGAAAGAATGGAAAGAAAAAGAGGGAAGGAAGGAGAAAAAGAAAGAAGGAGAGAAAGAGGGAGGGAGGGAAGGAAGGAAAGAGACAAGGAAGGATGGAACCAAAGAGTGAAGGAAGGGAGAAAAGAAACAGGTAGAGAAGGAAGAAAGAAGGTAAAGAAAAAAAAAGGGAGGGAAGGAAGGAGAGAAAGAAAAAAGGAGATAAAGAGGGAAGGAAGGTTGGCCACAGCAACGCGTGGCAGGTACTAGAGCTAGTATATAAATAAAAATGTTATGTTTGTTTGTGGGATTAACATAACTCAAAAACCACTGGACGAATTGGCACCAAATTTGGACACAAGACAGGTAAAGAAGGAAGAAAGAAGGGAAAGAAAAAGAGGGAAGGAAGGAGAGAAAGAAAGAAAGAAAGAAGGAGAGAAAGAGGGAGGGAAGGTTGGACACAGAAACGCATGGCGGGTACAGCTAGTCAATCTATACAAATAAAAATGTGATGTTCGTTTGTGGGATTAACAGAACTCAAAAACCACTGGACGAATTGATATCAATTTTGGACACAAGACACCTAACAACCCAATGTATGTCCTTCACTAAAAAAAATGATTTTGTCATTTGGGAATTGTAGTTGCTGGGACTTATAGTTCACCTACAATCACAGACCATTCTGAACCTCACCAACGATAGAATTGGGCCAAACCTCTCACACAGAACCCCCATGTGGGCCACAGCAACGCGTGGCAGGGGACAGCTAGTATAAATAAAAATGTAATGTTTATTTGTGGGATTAACATAACGCTAAAAACACTGGACGAACTGACACCAAATTTGGACACAATACACCTATCAGGCCAACGAGTGACCGTCACTCATAAAAACACTGAAAAACACAGCAGAAGAGACTTAAAAAGACAAAAAAACAAAACCAAAAGACAAAAAAACCCAAAAAAATTGCAATGCATGCACAAAACCACACATATATACACATATACACAAATATATACATACATATATACATACATATATACACACACAAAACACATATACACAGACTGGGCGACAGCAACACGTGGCAGAGAACAGCTAGTCTATATAAATAAAAATGTAATGTTCGTTTGTGGGATTAACAGAACTCAAAAACCAGTGGACCAATTGACACAAAATGTGGACAGCATACACCTAACAACCCAATGTATGTCCTTCACTCAAAATTTTTTGATTTTGTCATTTGAGAGTTGTAGGTGCTGGGATTTATAGTTCACCTACAATCAAAGAGCATTCTGAACTCCACCAATTATGGCATTGAACCAAATGTGGCACACAGGACTCCCATGACCAACAGAAAACACTAGAAGGGTTTGGTGGGCATTGACCTTGAGTTTGGGAGTTGTAGTTCACTTACACTAGAGAGCACTGTGGACTCAAACAATGATGGATCTGGACCAAACTTGGCATGAATATTCCATATGCCCAAATATGAACACAGATGGAGTTTGGGGGAAATAGACCTTGACATTTGGGATTTGTAGTTACTGGGATTTACTTACAATCAAAGAACATTCTGAACCCCACCAATGACAGAATTGGGGCAAATTTCCCACACAGAATGCCCATGACCAACAGAAAATACTGAAGGCCATCCAGTCCAACTCTCTTCACCAGGGCAAGAAAATGTAATCAGAGCCCTCCTGACAGAGAGCCATCCAGCCATAGATATAGATAGATATGATTCACACATATCCACAGCTATAGTATTCTAGATTTGAAAGGGACCCCTAAAGAAGGACAATGATATGTTGCGTGTTCCAGAGTAGGCAAACTAGACACTCTCCACATTAACACTGATAAAGAAACAACAAGAAATACTGTTTATCCACAAGCATCAAGAAATTACTTAGATTAGAAACCAACACTTTCTCATTACTTTATTTTCCAGATCACCAGACTGAGCCACAGCAATGCGTGGCAGGGGACAGCTAGTAAATAATAAATAAATAAGTCCAAAACACATCGAGGGCCCAAGTTTGCCCATGCTTGCATTAGAGGTTGTGTCCATTTGCTCGGCCAACGGAAGAAACACATAGTTCTCTCTTTCATGAATTCAGCTTTGTTTTGGAAACAATACTTTTGGACTGAAATTTGGATTGCGATAGTTACTTGGATTTTTTTGCACAAGGGACCAATTATCTCCTCTATAGTTAACAATCTGCGCATGTGTCCGATATTGAGAGATTTTCTATAAACAGAAAAGTGCGGTCCCTTTTCAGGAAGATTAGATATACATGGAAATAATCGCTCCAATTGATTCTTGTGGCCCCCGCTGTTATAAGCCCTTGAAATGTGAGATCCGCTTTAAACATGTCCTGAAGTATTATCTCCGGAGACCTAATCAATTGCGGCCTATTTGCCGCTCCTGATTTATTTCGGTGCAGAGGAATCAATGCTCATCAATGCACTCCGGAGGGGCATTTTTAATTACAAAGCAGGAGGTTTGTTTTGGTTAAGGGAACTCATCTAATCAGGGGGCATTGTTTAATTAATTTCCTTTAATAGTACAGTCGACGGGCCATTTTTCAGCTTCCTTGCGGAAGAAGAGGGTGCGCAATGGATGACATGCTTCTTCCTGTGATTCAGCTGCTTTTGACAGCATTGACCCCTCTCGAAACACCAGCAAATTATCTCTACTTTAATAGGTTCTTGTGGGTTTTTTTCGGGCTATAGGGCCATGTTCTAGAGGCATTTCTCCTGACGTTTCGCCTGCATCTATGGCAAGCATCCTCAGAGGTAGTGAGGTCTGTTGGAATGAGGAAAAAGGGTTTATATATCTGTGGAATGGCTGGGGTGGGGCAAGGAGCTCTTCCCTGCTGCAGTTAGGTGTGAATGTTTCAACTGATCACCTTCATTAGCATTTGAAGGCCTGGCTGAGCCTGGGAAAATCCCCTGTTGAGAGGTGTTCATAAAATCATAGAATCAAAGAGTTGGAAGAGACCTCATGGGCCATCCAGTCCAACCCCATTCTGCCAAGAAGCAGGAATATT